TAGAGAAGCAGGTGTCAGTAAGAATTCCCACTGACACTTTCTTCAGGTACCTAAAAGTTTAAGCGTTGTGTAGGAAAGCTGTCATGAAATGAAGGATGAAAATTTCAGTTTGCTCCAGTTACAACCCAGCATTAATAAGTGCATCGGTTTTCTGTTTCCTTATAGAAAGTTTTGGAAACTTACTCCTGTGCAAGCATAATTTTTGAAAGTTCCTTTAAGGAAGCTATTAACTCTGCTGGCATATGGAGAATTTATAATTTCTGCAAGTGTTATATAGGAGAGACCCTCTCATGTAAGCACATGATGCATTTAACTCATGTTATGAAATCTGCCTCTATATCTGGCAATGATTTCAAAATTTTCTGAGTTCTCTGTTTAAACTATAACAGAACTTCCAAGCACAAACTGTCACTGGAGGGGAGCTAAAGTTATGGTATGTTATGCTTAGGTAAAAAATATTAACAGAATATTTTAATTGTTTAGGCAGAGCAGACACAAAGTGATGATGTGCACATTTTCCAAAGTTGTGTTAGCATTTACTTTTTGTATTCCACACTGATGATCAGCCTTTCTCTTTGTTCCCTATCTCCCAAACACTTTGATGTGTTTCTGAAATGCATTTCATCTCATGCAGATAACATACACTGATTCTGCTGGCTAAAATTTTTAACTTTTGATTTGGGTCTTTTTGCTGTTAAATGCCCACTGCATGAGGAATGGGGCTCTATTCCCCCTTTTTCTTACCCTCTGTTCCCCCAAAACCAGTCCATGACAGATGATGGTGTTCCCAAAGGGCTATAATCCTCCCAGATGGCCACTCTTCCAAGACCAGTTATCCCACTTGGACCTCTTGTAAAATAGGTGGCTTTGAAGGGTTTTGATCTTTTCCCTTTGGAGTATGAAAAGCATATCCTTGATGGATATGGATGATGCCTGCACAGGTAGGAGTGTAGCTGATGACTGATGAAAATGAGGACCTTTTTGTTGCAGTGCTACTACACGTGTATCTAAATCGCATACTTCCAACCAGAGCTTCTTTTGTGAGATAATATCTGTGATTAGAGTTTCTGCTGGAAGCGGGAATAATTCCCCCAAACTCTGTGGATGGGTTTAACCAAAGTGGTTTACCTGCTTCTCTTGATGTTTGGTGGTCACTCTGACTGGCAGAGAGCTTTGGCTGCTCCTGCCCTTCCCTCCAACACTGTTTAAGTTTTAAGACTCTTCCATGTTTAAGATTCTCTGTTTTAAGACTCTTCCATGGGTCTAGAGCAAGTTCTGCTAAGACAAGGATTAATAAGTGTCTTTTTCCTAATAACCCAAGGCATCCTGGCTATTACGGTATTATTGTTGAAGACTGTTTACTATGCTGCCCCTTAAAGAAGCTTCATTTTAATTGGTCTGAATTAAATGCTAAAAGCAGCTCAAATGTTGGGTTTTCTGTCAGGGAGCACAGCCACATATATAGGCCTGCTACTGAAGCTGAGAGGGGCTTGAATTATTGCTGTAAAACGTTTTACATGTTATATAAGTTTATATAAATTTCCTTTCAAACTTGGAAAATTTCCTTTCCAACCTTGCCAGGTTTTAAATTGAGAAAGTGAATGTTTATGGTCCTGTTGCAATGGAAAGGTTGACCTGAGTTATTGTCGCATTAATGACTACAATTAAACGAAAAATTAAGTAAATAATGGAATTATAAGAATCTCTATTATTCTATGAAGTCCTTCAAAAACCAGCACCATAATTTGAAAAATGCAGCAGATAAAGATATTTACATTTAGACTTATTTTGATTCTTTGCTGCCTCCTTAAAAAACCCAAACAAAAAGCACCACAAAACATGGCTTTAGGCAAAAGCTGTTTCCATCATATTATTTTTTCCAAGGTAAAGACTCAGTGCCTAGACTTTTAAACAAGTGCTTTATCCTTGAAAATTAAAATAAAATATTTTCATGTAATCAGTAAATTTTGTTATGAAACTTTACAGCAGCTATATTAAACGATAAGAATAACTACTATTTTGAAATTCTGAACATCTCATAATTAGACCAGCCTTTAAGAAATATTCAGAGTTAAGGCACATTAGAATGTATTCCACAACATGGAGACAGCCCTGACAAAGAAACATTATTCTTAGATTTACAATTAATTACCCTTATGTCTATACCTTGCATTCAATTTGCATATCTTAAAAGTGCTGTAAATTTCATAGCACTCCCTTGTTATTTAAGATCATTCTGCTTTAGTAAAAGTTTCCACAGTGATAACTTTCTCTTGATTATGTAGTTGTGAGGTCAATAAATTTGGCTTTACTTGGCTCTACAATGTTATAATTTTTCTTTTTTTCTGTTGTTTTTCATTATTTTGCTCCTTGTTCCTCCTGCCCTCTCATTTATAATCCCCTGAAGAACCAGTAGATAGAGAAGTCTGGCTCGAAGACGAAGTGAGTGGTCAGATCCTCAGATGTTATCTTTTTCCCAGAACGCACTGGTACTGGGTGTCTGACATGTTCTATACATCTTTCTGGTGCCAGCCTCATTAAACAAATGCACCTTGATGTATAGCTCTCAAGAAATGAAATTTCATGCAATGAATTCCCTCTACATTAGCTCATGTTCTCCCTCTCTCTCCCCCATTCTTTTCTACTCCAGGAGTAATTTTATTTGTTCTTGATTTCAAGCATAATTTTACACTGTGATCATCCATAATTTTGCACCCTGAGGTTTGTCAGTGTTTTTTGATATTTAAAGAAATATCCATGTTTTCTGCTCACAACTTGGTGTTTCCTGCTTTCTAAACATGGAATCCTTGCTTCTGGCCAAGGTGTGGTACATTCAGGTAGTGGGTCAGAATGTTTACTTTGATCAGATTTCTATGGGGATTTTCTCTAAATGTTAGGCATGTAGCGTGTTTGTTGTAAATTCCATAGACTTCTATGAGTAGTTATATATAAATGTGTTCAACCTGTGTTTTATGCTCTAATTCAAGGTTAACAAAATATCCTGTAACCAGAAGGATGTTGAACGCTTTGCCAGAATAGTAAATATTGCTCTCATCCTTTTTCCCCCCATTTTTGCCCCTTCAGCTTAAAAGAATTTTAAAAAGAAATATGTTTTCAAACTAAAATAAATCTTCTTTAATGAGACTATATATTATTTACAGAAAAATGCCACTAAACTCAATTAGTACCGGTCTCACCACTGGGTAGAATTGAAGTTGTTGAATTTTTTTAAATGTAGTTCATTGAAGTCATTACTGAATCTGGGGCAATATTCTATTTTTAATCAATTTAAAAAGTATAATGGATGAGGAAAAAAAACAACACACTGTATGGATTTTTGTGGATTTACTGCTGCAAAAGATACACATACAAATACATAAAGCTTATGCCCATCTTTCTTTTATTTAGAAAAAATTTTTGAATGTTACTTTAAACAGGTAATTCCTTATTGCCACCCCCTGTACTGTTAATTGGTAGCTTATTAGAGTTATTTAAAAAGTTATTATTTTAGTTTCTTTCATTTAATATTTTATTGTATATCACTATTATTTAAAACTACTTTGCTGGATAACAGCAGCCATCCAAAACATTGTCTGTTGCTCAGAAACAGAAATAATAAAATAATGGAAAGCAGAGCTATTGCATTAAACTAATGACTGGTTATACTTCATATATTAAACAAAACCTCAGAATACAGTGCTTTGAAATACTTTCTTAGTGAGTGATCCAGTCATTGTGAACTTTGAATGTGAATATATGTTCTTTAAAGGGAAGAACCTGTCTTTTTTTTTTTTTCCCCTTGGGGCATGAAGTTGAAGTTACAGGAAAGAACAGGTTGTGAGATTTAACCGATATATTAATGTCTGCCTTTTAATATATAAATAATTTTGAAGAACTAAAGGAACCACTTTTAACCTTATTTTAATGGGCCTGGTACAAGCAAGTGTTGAATATGGCACTATTCTATTAGATTATAATATAACATTACTATTAAAATGATTTTTAAAAACCTTCCCAAAATTCCAATAACAGTATTTCATGGAATATAACATGGTAGTGGAGATTAGCTAGCCCTAGAATACCTTGGCAAAAGTGTTCAAGTAGCAAGAGTTTTTCTAGTCTTATGTCCTATATACATCTGTTAAATTACTCAGAGATCTCATTAAATAAAGCTAATGTACTTGTAAAACAGTAGGGAGAGACAGTATATCATTGTAACTGTTAGAAAGAGCCATTCTGGCAAGGAGGGAGCCAGGAAGGCTTGGTGTATGCTGGTCAGTGGAGATGTTTCTAGGCCATAAATCTTGGCCCTTTCCTGCCTAGTTATTGTGTATTTCTTTAGGTGAGAGATTGATTGTAGCAATGGAAGATGAATTTGCCCATAGACCCTTTCTTTTTTTTTCTGTATACTCCTGATGCCTCGCCAAGGTGATAATGCTCTTTTTTTTTTTTTTTTTTTTTTTTTTTCTGCAATCATTTGTTTCAGATTAAAAGTGTGAAACTGCATGGGGAAACACAAGAAGGCTTGTCTCTGCAGACAGGCAAAGGTGAGGGCATGAAGATGTATAACTGTCCCAGGTGGGAGAAGAGTAGAGTTTACCCCCTCAGGATTTGAAGCAGGTTTGTCTGAAGGAGAATGAAATAGGGTAAAATTGAGAAAGAACTCTGGCTTTTCTTTACTGCCTATTTTAAAGATGGTATTTCAATTTTTTTCTTTAAGTTTGGCTGTGTTATGCAACTAAAATATTTTATGTTACTAAAATATTCCTTACCTGTTATATTTACTGCTGAGCAAAAGGCTCAAGAACTGCCCCCTCTGTGTCTTGCCCTGCTGTTTGTGCTGCAGACTGAGCAGGGGATGCTTTTCAGGAATATATATAGATGCTGAATTTATAAGGATCAATATAGTTACAAATGTTGTACAACATGTCAGGATATCATAAAAAGCAGGCAGTTCTATATAAAATACTATCTTAATCTCAGAGATTTTAAAGCCTCATTAAAATGTGGGTAAAGTCCATATATGGAATGGCAGCATTCGAAAGGTTGAAGTTGTATATCTGTGGTGCAGAGGTTTTAACCATTAGATTTGAATGTCAGTTGACTTATTTGATCGCAGTTGACATTAATGTGTAACAAATTGAGATTATGGGATGCATCATATGCATCTTATGGGTTTTGTCATTTAAAGTTTGGGGAGCAGGATATAAAAACTTGTTCCTTAATTTTTGAAATCTGAGGTTCCAAAAGAGAGATGACAATGTGAACATCTTCCAGGCAAACTTTATAAGTCCTGCTAAAAAAAGACCTCACTGCTTAATTGGGCAGAAAGATGGGGTGGCTCAGTGGCCTTTCCTGGTGCCGGGGGGCAGTGAGAGAGCAGGATTGTGGCTGCAGTGGGAACCTGGTCAGAAGACACACCTTAAAAAACCAGAGGCAATGTCTGCAGCTGTTAGCAACCTTAACACTGAAAATTGCAAATATCCATGTTCTTGTATGTCTATGGAATTTATTTGTTCTAGCTTTTGTTCTAGTTTTTTTGTGTT